TTGATTTCTTTTAGGATTGCCTGATTTGTTCTTCTTGCAGTCCAAGGTACTAATTTATATTAGTAGCTTTTAAAATGTGCCATGCAACATGCTTGTTTCAAGAAGACTGCCAACAACCAACCCTTTTATCCCAGTTTGGGATAAAAGATATTCCAGTATTTAAGGATGGGATAGTTTTTTTCTGACCTTGTTCACATTTGCACATCAAATCCTGTTCTAGATTGTATGCTATAAAGCATACATTGTTTTCTATATCTATACGCTTGGCTGCCCTGAGCTGGTTAGCCCAGGCTAGCCTGATCTCATCAGATCTCAGAAAACCTACAGTTTCATCATTGGTCAGTGTGACTTGATGGCAAAAATAAATAAATAAATCTTGGCTGCTCTTCCTCTCCTCTATGCAAACAGTGATCCATAAACTTTCCTGTAAATGACTTGTATCTCTGCACTAATGATTAACAATGAGATCAATCACATCAAAGGTCAAGTCTCAGACAGAAACATCTTTGTTAGAAAGGGGACCTCTGGGACTGAAACAGACAACCCCTTTGGACAACCCAAACCATCTTTCTTGATTGTTAGTCTTCCTTGAATAGAGATGAAGGGAAAAGGTTATCAGTGGAGCTATCTTCTGAGAAACTAGTTGACACAACTCCGTTTTTCCAGAGCACTTCCCATACTGAGGTAGATGATGTGGCATTGGTTTTCTGTTGAATTGTTGCTGCTTCTGCTTGCTGTTGCAAAGGACCAACAGGGGGTGATTTAGTTTTTCACCTTTACATCTGAATGAGACAATACAGGCTGAGTTCAGCAGAATGCAATAACAGGAATAAGTTGCAGCAATTCAGCTCTTGGTGTTGGACTTTTAGTTTTGGCATGTTTTTGCTATGTTTAGTTAGTGGATCCAGTACTGGGCCCACAGATGATCAGTGAAACTTTGCTTATATCAACAAACTTGGCTTTAGCACTTCTCCACTGTGCCATCCTGGCTTCATGGCACCCAACTGATAACTGTCAAAACCCACAGCCAACAACGCAGTACACGCATTCAGGAATGGTTATACTTTTATTGCAGAGCTATAGATGCAGTAACATAGGCTCTGTTAAGAATGGCGGCGGCCCCATGGGCATAATAGGATATAGGGTATTCGTATGCACCCCCCACACGCAGTACTGGCCAATTAGGCGGCCTCCCACATGCGGGCTAAGGCTTAGAGACCGTTAGGTAGCTGAAGCTGAGAACTAACACTCTCCCACGGCACCTAATGAAATCCCAGACACTACAACACCCTCCTGCACATCTGTATAGATAAGCGTTTCGGCGCACAGCAGAAAAAGCACAGAAAGGAATGCAATAGCAATTAACCTGAAAGGAAAGCAATAGCAATTAACCAGACACAGACCAACCTCCCCAACTTTCATGGCAGCATAGCTGACAATAACAAAGCCTTACTACACCACTTAACTCAGTTAACACTGGCCACCAGCAACTTATTTATTTATTTATTCTTCAAATTTGTACCCCACCCTCCCAGCCAAGGCTGGCTCTTGGGAAGCATCAGCCACTCTCAGATATATCAAATGGCTGTGGAGCCACACCACCTACAAACACACATTTGACAGCAAGTACAAGTTTTACAATAACACTTTCCTCTAAAAAAAAAACCTAGTGGAAAACAACCTCTTGCCAAAGTCATTGCACTGCTCACACAAAAATGAGTGTCATTTTCTGAGTCCTTCCCCCCACCTGAAGATGAGTAATGGCCTTCTTGGTTGTGCTGCCACACCATACTCTCACCAATGAGACCCACCCATTGTCATAATTATTGGTGTTTAGGAATAAAGCAAAGTACTTCTATTTCATCAGGCATTTGGTTAAGCTACTTTGTCCCTTTGTTCCAGTCTTTTGTTGCTGGTTGTCTTGAATCTGTTTTAGTTTAATTGTTCTTTAATTTGTTTCTTAGTTTGTCTAGAACATTTCTATGGTACCTCTTCAGAGTCCTGTTGAAGCAGCTTACAATTTAAAAACACAGTATTAAAAACACATTAAAAACAAGCCATTAGACATAAGCAGCATAAAAACTATCCATAAAACAGTATGAGATCTTTAAAAAGAAGATAAGATAAAACCACAAATTAAAAGCCTGGGTAAAAAGATGTATTTTAGCCTGGCGCTTAAAACAAAATTAAGTAGGCATCGTTTTAATATAATGTTGATTTTGTCTGTATGTTCTTAAAGTCTCTTTGAACAAATTATTTTTTTGCAAAGTGGGATAAAATAGCACATAGTGAATTGTATTTATTGTATTTTATACTATTTTGTGTTGTTTTATTGTTTTAACTTTGGCATTTATGCCCCTTGTGAGCCGCCCTGAGCCTTCGGGGAGGGCGGGATATAAATTTAAAAATAAATAAATAAATAAAATATAAAATCCTGAAGTATTGGAAGAAGTGAATGAATGATATGTTGTTGTTTGTTTTTGCAAATCCTGGAGTAACATCAAAATCTATTGCCACAGAAGCATACAACTGGATTAACCTCTTCTTTCAGTGTTCCTGATAATGGGTGAAGGGATCTTTATGTCACTCAGACGGAGAACCTCAGAGTCAAGAGATGCAGGACAGAATCCTCTGTGCTGTGCTGCAGACCAGTATACCCCTCCCTACCTCCTCCCTACCACCTCATCACACAGCCTCTGCAGCATTTCATGCATGACATGGAGTATCATGTTTCAAGTAGTCACTTTAGTGATCCCTCCCCACATCTTTCACCTGTAACCCATCCTTTTGTAGACACTCTATCCTACTGCTAGGCAAGTCTGAGCACAGGTGGCTTGGGAAGACTCAATTGCCAAATGATTTAGTGAAAAGAGGAGGGGGCCTACCTTGAATCCCTAGGTTATGGTGTTGCCTGTACAGTAAGCAGCTGAGTGGGTGCCAAGCAGGGGTCATTTCGTAGAAAAAGAGCTAGGGGAACTCATTAGCATAACTCATTAGCATATGCCACACCCTCTGACATCAGGGGCCCGGCGGTGGACCTGCAAGGCCGGCGGGAGTGCGAGGAAGCCCCGCCAAGGCCCTCCCTGGCCCCAGGCAGGCAGGGGTGGGGAGAGGCGGGGAGGAAGCAACTTACCCTCCCTCTTCTCCTGCCTCCTCCTGGCTGAATGAGGGCTGGAAGCGGGGCGGCCGGAAGCAGGGGGCGGGGCTTCATCATGTGCCCCGCCCCCCTGCACCTCACCCGGGGGAACTGCGTTCCCCAGCGTTCCCCCCCAAAATGACCTCTGGTGCCAAGGCAGAATGGTAGAAGAGGGAGAAACTACAGTGGCCTCCAGGGCACAGAACAATCAGGATGACAACCAGAGGATTTACGCGGGTCAGCTGAAGCATGCTGATGATTTGAACCTAATCAATGCCAATACCCACTTGAAACCATTGCCTCCAGAGGCTTCCTAGTAAGGATTTCAAAATGTAAGCCTATGACACTCTTAAGTTTACTATGAACACAAATATTTTAATAAATGGTATAGAAGTTTCCCTTTCTCTGTTATCAAAATCTGTCAACTGAAATAGTGTACAATCCTGTTATACACTGGGCATGATCACATGCACAAGTAGTTGTGCCATAGGTGTGAATGCTGGGTGGATTTAAAGGGTGTGATCAGACATGAACATCTGGGAAGTGCCCCACACCTGTCGGCAGCCCGTTTTGCTCCGCCGCAGAAGCGGAGTAAAAAGACACTGGGGAAAGTCTGGTAGCACATGGGTTGCTACAGGCCACGGACGGACTTTCCCCTGTCTGATCACTCCAGCGCGCTCTCATGGCATCGGGATGGTCTGATCAGGCCATCCCAACTCCATGCCATTGTTTTTCCCTCCCTTCTCAGTATGTGCATCATCACACACTACATAGGGAGCCCTCACTGCTGAGATACAATTAATCGATTCCCCATTTAAGTGCATCGGGACCAAACGGCAAAAAAACCAACAACCCCGACTCACCCGTGGTTGCGTCTGATTATGCGGTGGCGGGCTGCCCCCACAGCTTCACAGGATTGTGTGATCATGCAACTGCGGGTCAAATTCCTCTGGAGGAAATAGCCTTGCTCCCCCCTGCATTATCTTGCACGTGTGACCACCACCACTATTTGTTAAATTACTAGGCCCAGATGATCTTTGTACATTTTAGAAAGGTAGGGAAGCATTCTTCTTATCAGACATTTGAGCTGCAGACTGCTTTGTCTACTCTAGGTGTTCTAATTTTTATTATTCTGATGGAGATTGTTTTCAGGTGGTTGGATGTAATGTCTCCCTTTCTTAGACTTTTTCCAACAAAGGGTTTCTCCATCAGACTTAACAGAAAGGAGTCATTACATCCAGTTAGGCTCAATGAAATCATTATACTTAATCAAATATTTTTAAAGTGTTTAATGGTAGTTACTGTTATTATTAAGTCTGTATTTGAAGTTTGAAATCTATTTTTGAAGGCTCTTTGCATATAAACTAAAACATGAAATAAATTGATAAATGTTTGGTTCTGAAGGCACACAGAGTTATCTGTGACGAAAATCCTATCAGGAGCTTCCAGTGTTGTTATAGGATTGTATAGTTCTATTTTTATTACAAGACCAAAGATCAATAAAACTTTAATTCAGTTAATCCAGTACTCAAAACAGGCTGTGATCCATAGCTTATCATATGTTAAAGTCCATGGGTCTTCAGTTCCCATGTCTATCATTTTTGACCTCTGTGAAATCAATTAAGACAACCCAGTAAATGGTGCCTTAGTCAACTTTCTTTTCTCTAACTTGCTTGAACAGTTTTCCAGGTGGCCCATTAGAAGGCTCTGTGCTACCAATGAAACTTGTTTGTTAAGTTTACCAGACAGTGCTGTTATCTTCTGTTTGTCCAGGGGAAAGGCTGACAGTGAATCAATTTGCTTTCCAAGCTGTAGCAAACTGAATTGGAGTGTGACTGTATATTCCCTGCAGTGTTTTACCATCATGACTGTAGCATCTATATCATTCCTTTTGTGTCTGTTGAGAATTTTCCTCATCTATGCTGTCCTAGGCTTCCTAAATTTGCATTGCTCCAGGTAAGTGAATTTTGTTTTTCAAACAAATATCAGTACAGGGACCTAATAAATAATGATGTTTAATGGTAACCCTCTGTTTTTATTTTATTTTATTATGGTGGATGAGATTATATTTATTTCTGGATGCTAACAAAGTGACCCATAAAACACTTTATTAAAATGAAGATAGTGCAAAGTAGTTTGCATTTTGGCAGGCCATAATATGTGAAATTCTGCCCCACTCATATTCAGTGAAATTTCCTCTAGATTCCATCTAGATTTGCCTAAATGAGAAACAAAAAAATAAATTTTGAGATTATATTGCGTAGTTTTTCCCCTGTATATTGCTCTGCTACACATTAAGGTATCCCAAAATATAACAGGATTCACCCAAGCTGAAGAAGGTCAAAGGGGTCTGGCATATAGCTCCAGCCCACTATTTGGAGTTGTGTGGATGGTCTTGACCCAGATACAAAATCGACATGTACAGCCAGGGGTGCTAGACATAGAGATTCACCTCTGGGAAAGTGATTCTGTGAAACGGTCCCATTTGCTGTCTCTGAATGACTGTGGAATTTCTTATATTGCAGAAATGAATAATGGTTCATAGAGATACGGGGCAACAATCCTGTTAATATAGTTCATTAAAACTAGCCATATTGCCTGGCTGGTATTAAAGAACAATGTAAAGAGCGGTGAAATGTCAAGTGCTCAGCAACAACAAAACTAAGGGGAGATAGGACTACTGGAACTCAAAGTGTCAAATTGGTGCCCTGCTGTCTTAAGATGATTCAGTCTTTCCTGCCTTCGCTCTCCTTCGTATCCCTCTCAGCCACGAGCTGCCCTTTCGCTCTTTCCTTCACAAGCCAGGTCACCTAATGGCTCATCCACATCTATAGTAAAATTCAGATGGGTAGCCGTGTTGGTCTCAAGCAGCAGAACTAAGTTTGAGTCCATTGAGACATTTAAGACCAACAAAGTTTTATTCAAACTTTTGTCTGAAGAAGTGTGCTTTTCACACAAAAGCTTACACTTTGAATAAAACTTTGTTGGTCTTGAAGGAGCCACTGGACTCAAATTTTGTTCTGCTCAAGGGGTTTTTTGTAGAAAAAGCCCAGCAGGAACTCATTAGCATATTAGGCCACACCCCTGACAGCACAGCTCATTAGTATATTAAGCCACACCCCATGCCTTCCCTTGACATGCCTGGGCGCCCTGCAGCACCCCGCAGTTTAAACTGCCTTCCTTTGGCTTGCCCAGGTGCTCCTTCCCTCTGTAGCCTCGCAGGCAGAGGTTTTGGCTGTAGTGGGCATGGCCAGCTCTGAAGACAGACGGAACTCAGTTCCTGTGCGTTCTTCCCCAAAAATAGCCCTGGTTCTGCTACATCTATAGTGTTACCTTTCCTCCAACTTGATTATTGTGCCTCTACATACTGGTGGTCTTTCCCCCCCATCCATATATCACATTGTTGTGGCAATAACACTCACCAAAGTTTCCAACCTTTTCAACATGTCTCCTGACTTCAGGCCCATCAGTCACAAATAATTTTGAACCTTTTTCCTCTTTATCTTTTAAACATTACAGGAATGCAGAGGTTCATTGCACACAATAACACTAACATTTATATATAGGCCTGCAACATATGAATACAGATTGTATGTGTGTGGGGGGTTTTTTTCCTGTACAAGTAGCTCCCTCTTTTTGTGGTGTGCCAGTTCCATAGGAAAACCCCACACAGTTGGTCCATGTGGCTTTAAGCCTTTATGTGTTAACACTAGCACTGTAGTATAAAAACATGGAAATATATCTCTCATGGCATTGCCACAATGTTCAAAAGGCATTTGAGACACTGTTACGGTCATGTTCTGGTCCTTCTTCATACATCTTCCTTTCTTTATTCTATTCCATATCTCTCAATTTCCCAATGAGGGAATACAGTGCTTAATCCTCCTAACACAGTCTTTGCCCCTTTCTCTAGGTTATCTAATTAATTCTTAAGGTTTCTGCTACCATTTTATATTATTGTTATTATAATTAATAATAATGATTATAATCAGGGCTATTTTTGGGCAGGAACGCACAGGAACGGAGTTCTGGCTGGCTTCCAAGTTGGCCATGCCCAGCAGGAACTAATTAGCATAATAGGCCACACCCAACATAAGAAACTCATTAGGATTGGCTACATTAGGGGTATGTGGCCTAAAATGCAAATGAGTTCCTGCTACAAGAAAAGCCCTGGGTTTTGACAACAAACAAGGTAAACAGAATAAGAAGCAAAAGGTGGGTGTGGCTGGATGAGCACACTTCTGGTATCATGGGGGTGTGGCCTAATATGCCAATGAGCTGTGCTGTCAGGGGTGTGGCCTAATAGGCTAATGAGTTCCTGCTGTTGGGTGTGGCCTATTACCCTAATGAGTTCCTGCTGGGCTTTTTCTACAAAAAGAGCCCTGAATAATATTTGTAGACCACCCTTCCTCATTCCTACATAGGACCCTTTTTCTGTCTGTTCCATCTGTTTCACTAATGAATACTAGTACGTCCCACAATGTCCCACTGAAGTTTCAGCCTGAAAATAGCAAAGATGAAGTTCTAATTTTTTTCACCTGAACTTCTAGGCCACACAGTTTTCTAGGTAATGTTGTCTTCTACCCCTTGGAATGATCCTTGATTCCTTCATGTCACTCTCAATAATCTAAATAGACACTAGGTACTACTGTATCTCCTTTTACTACATCAAGTTCTGCCTTTTTCTATGCAGTTATTCATATTATTTATGTATTTATTTGGATATGTATGCCCTGCTTTTCTCCCCAGTGGGGACTGTAAACACTTTACAACAGTGTCCCCCTCTTTATTCTCACAATAACCTAGTGAAGTAAGAGACTGACAGCCTCAAAGTCACCCACCAAGCTTCCAGGGCGGAGTGGGGATTCAAACCTGGGTCTTCCAGATTCTAGTCTGACATTCTAACCATTCAACCATACTGGCTCTTCTTTATGTAATCTATCATCTGGACTACTGAAATTCTTACTTGCTGGCTATTTTTTGTCTCCAATCCCTCTTCTATACTCTTCTTTCTACCTTTTGATCATGTAAAACCCATACCCTGGCTCCCTATTAAACTGCGCGTGTGTCCTTTTTCAAAGCTGTCCACTATCTTTCCCTGTTCATAACTTTCCCTGCCCTCCTTATATTCTGTCTCAACCTCTTTAAATTGCATTATCTCTTTTTAGTTTTTTCTTCTTTGTTCATGTTTACTGCCACTCTGTGCTTGGAACATACTTGTGAGCCTACTTGTAAGCCATGATTCAAAACTCCATACCTTTAGGCAAATGCTTGCTGATCCACTGTAGCTTCAGCTTGCCCATTTCTTCAACACACACTCACCCATATTCTATGCATTTTCAATTTCTCTTCTCGAGCTCCACACTTCTCCTGTCCTTTTTATCAGACTATGAGTTCCATGCAAAGGATGATGTCACTTCTGTGTTCCATACAGAACTCAAGGAACAGTACTAAGCATTCCGTTGTATAATTTAGCAGAGTAAAAAACAATGGAGCAGCAGCACACAGGTGTAAATTAGCTAAAAGAAAGTTTACTAAGAAATTAGGAAGGGTTACATAAGAAGTAGCATACACAAACAAACAGGTTAACTCTTTCATGACATCAGGGGGTGAACTTGCAAATATCCCAACACAATCCTTGCCCAAAAGTAACTCTCATTTTATTCCTTGGTGCTTTTTCCCTGGGAAGTGTTCGTAGGATGGCAGCATAAGTTGTTCTGTTGCTAAATAAGAGTTGTTCTCTGATGACAAAGAATTGTTAGGGAAATTCCGAGTGGGTGTGGCCTGTATTACAGAATCTAGGTCTGGTTGACTTGTAAACAGCTCAATTAAGACTGAGATTATTTTTTTCATAAATTGGAAGGCAGCGGGAATCTTGCATGGTAAAAGAAAAAGTATACCTTTCCCATATTCATGTTTTTCTGAGCTGATTCTGTTTTCAAGAGCCTGAAACTGGGAAGAGAGCTGAGAAACCAGTGGCATTCCTATTTATTTCAGCATTGTTTTTCTTTGCATCTAGAATTCTCCATTTGTGATTTATTTTAATCACTTCTCAAATCTAAAGAAACACCTTGCTCTCTGTCTAATTAACCACAATCAAGGCTGATAGAAGTTTTCATTAACAGATGGTGAAAATTAATTCTCATTTTAATTTGTTTTATAATTAGTATTTGACCAAAGGATATATACATGGTTTTCAGAAAATTGGTTAAAACTTGCTGTTGTAAGCAATTACTCACAAGTAAGTTCTATGGAAGTGAATTAGTGTTACAGATCAGTGTGTTTAAGGATTGTTGGGAAAATCTGTTGTACTCATGCACTCAGACCTGATGGCAAACCAACATTAAGCTGGAATGTGCACAGACCCATCTTACTGATGTACTCTTGCATAAGCTTTACTCCTTCTCACTTGCTTTTTGCCCATCCACTCCCTGAATGAAGACATTACACCAATTATGGGTTAAACTGGGAACTTTTTTTATATCAGGCTGATTTGCTTAACTCAGGCCCCGTCCATACGAGCCCAGTGTATGCCCGGGGCCCTAGTTAAATCCTTAAAGCACAGGTTGCAGCAGGCTTGCAAGGCAAGCTCCTTAAGTGGGCAGAACCACTCCGTCTCAGATCCAGGTCCAGAAGCCTCCCAACTTTTTCCTCATGGCCCACACATGTGTGCATAGAGGGGATAGAGGGGCGCAGTCCCCGCCCATGATTGCTAAACCTTGAGGCTTAGCATGTGCCCCCCAACCCCAAAGAGCTCCCCCCCTGAGCCCTCCAGACTATGTAGCCATTAGGGACCCAATTGGAGGATTCCCCCCATCATGGATATCTTGGGTTGCTTACCAACTCAAATTCCCCTTAACCCATGCTTTTCCTGCCATCCCAGTTAAGGACCTAACCGGATTAACCAAACCTATTTATACCCCTGGACTCTGGACCATGTGAAGCAGGCAAAAAAGCCCCCCCTTTCAGTTCCTGTGCTATTCAGCAGGAACTGAACTTGCATGGAGCATGCTGAAGGAATAACTCCACTTACCATAACCATACAACTGTAAATTTGCAGTTCAACTGATTTAATTCAGGTTTAGAATCCCAGTATGTGAAAACTAACCTAAATTAAGCCACATACCAACACTTGTATGTGAAATTAGTTTTGCACAAGGATTTTTTTATCACACTCCATGCAACAAGGAAGAAAGTAGTAGATGCAGGCATGGCCATGAGTATAGATGGCTTTCAAAGGGGCTGAGACAGATTCATAGAGGAGAAGTCGATCAATGGCTGTTAGCCACAGTGAGTAAGGGGAACCTCCATACTGAGAAGCAGTAAATCTTGGAAACCTAGTGCAAAGAGGCAATATATCAAGGGAAGGCATTGCCTTTTGTGCTCCAGGGCAACTGGTTGGCCACTGTGTGAAATTCACTGTTCTGATCTAGCTGGGCTATTATTATGCTCCTAATGGGGGAGAAAGGGTGCATGAGCACAGGACAAGCCAGGCTTTAATTTGGGCTGATGAGACCTTTGAATTAAGCCTAAATCCTACTTGATAGATCTCTTCCTCCTTCAGTCCTAAGGGATCTTATTAAATCAAGCCTGTAAAATTTGTAAGTCCTTCAAATTCCATAGCCCACAAGCCAAATAATGTATCCAGGCAGGTGTTTGATACCCCCACTCCCATTTCTGTACTCTTTTCCAGGCAATAATAAATTAGGTGAATTGATTCCCAGTTAGGTAGACTCCTTTTGGCTTAGTGAACCACAATACGTACTGACCACCATGAAAATACATCATGTTATTTCCAGGATATTACTTCTCTAACCCTGTAACAGTAAATTTCTAGGAAACAGGATTTCTTCCTACTGATGGACTGTGATGTTTCTTGATATTTAATGCTATTTGTGCCATTGCAGTATTAAACCCCCTCCCTATACACACATAACACACACACTTGAGCATCTACATTTTATTAATATCCTTCTCTGAGAAAAAGAGTATTTAACATAAGTTTGGTCATGTTCTACAGGATAAGCAACACCCCAATTTTCAGTGTGTCAGATTGAAATATTAAGGATTCGCTGTGTTCTGAGTGAAATCACTGATGGGCTATGAGACAGGGATAATACCAGAAAGAGATTATATGTGGCGTTATTCCTTCACATATAGATGTGAAAGGAAATTAATATGTTCCTTTCAAACTCCTCATTTCACATTGGTACATACAGGTGAAGCCTCCAAAACTTGCAAAATGTGGTGAATCATTTCCTCCTTCCCAATGTAAGAGAAACACCCTGACATTTCATTGGGAAGAGGGATCAAAGGTAGTCTGCCACAATCTCCCTTTCCCCAAGGCAGTCACAGTTTGTATATATGCAAAATTGATTTCATAAACGTGTGTGTAACATGTATTACAGTATATTTAGCCTGCTGTTCTGTTGCAAAGGACTCTCAAAGGTTCCTTATGCAGGGCCATAGCTGAAAAAGTTATGCTCAGGGGCAAAGCAGTACAATGATGGGGGAAGACAGTGTTGCCAGGTCCTCATCATCCCAAGACCTAAGACTCATTGGGTGAGGTCTGGTGATGTTGTGCGTAGGAGATCTATCATCTAGTTGAATAGTAATATCAATCATTGTACTTCAGCATACCAATTGATAATCTATCACTTGGTGTCTGTGAACATGTGTGGTCAAAATCATGGTAGCTTTAAATTGATGGGCTATTCACCAGTCTTTAAAAAGCAACATGAAAACTAACGATGTACAAAATGCAATTGAGTTGCAGTCAAGTTAGTGTCAGTTCATTGCCTCCCATCTCCAATTTACATGTGCAGTAGTTGCTACAGTGAGTTGTACATAGAAGGCTTTAGGGAAGCTGTATCTCTGTAGTATGCTATACCATTTGCTCTTCAATTTAACTCCTTTCATATCAAAGCACAACGTATGCTGCTACTAGTATCACACTGGATCCACACTCAATTAAAAATCCCTTTTTATAACTAAGGCTTACTAGTGTGAGCATTACCCCAACACCATTGATTTTAGTGTTCAGAAGAACTGATGAGGGCAGAGAGGCAAATGTGGCTTATCCTGCAAAACTTATTTTTCTCTCTGTGGGTAAGGAGTGCCCATAAGAAGGCATGGATAAGAATAAGATATCTACTGGGGGATCCTAATTAAAAATAGCTTTTTCCCACCGACAAACAGTGGAGAGAAGGAATTTTCCTTTCACCTAAATGATGCTGATGTCAATGTGACCAGAAGCAGATGGCGTCGATCTCCAAACAACCCACCACAGCCCATTGATTGTAATGTTTCTAGCTGGTCCTCATGGAGCATTTGTGACCCTTGCCAGAAGAAAAAGGTGAGTCTATTTTCCTCCTACATATGAGGAATATCAGTGTATTGCAACTAAAAGCTTGTAGCTTGCAAGTTAAAATAACTATGAATTCTCCAGCAGTTCTGTCTACCACCCTCCATTGTTTCTTCAGGTCCATTTTATCTGCCCACTGACTTTTCCTTAAAAGTGGCCAGCCTCTCTTGAACTTTCTTTTTCTCTTTCCCTTGCTGTCTTCTCACACACGTTCCTTCATGTGCATACCTTGTACAAGGTCCTCCTGGCCTAAATACTGATCTTAGGTCCCGGTTACACAGGCCAGAAAATGTGGGGGGGAAGCGTGGCTGTTAGCTCTAGAGCAAAGTAACGTGCGGCGGCCCAATTACATGTCCCGTCGAGGTCCCGTGGTTAGGACGTTAGGTGTCGATCATATGGCTATCCTGCAGCGTGGTAAAGAAGCGGTACAGTGCGATCACACCGGCAATCACTAGGTGCCGCTTCCGTGGCAAATGGGAATTTTTTTTCTCGCCAAAGTTTGCGCATGTGCATGGTTGTTTGTGCGGATCCTGTGGAGACTTACAAAAAAACCCAAAACATCCGGTTTGCAACGGGACATGGACGGGCGCCAGATGCCATGGGATTCACGCAGAAACACAATCAGATGCCTGCCCTTGCCCCACATTTTCCAGAAACTAGTACCTTGTATGTGGTAGCTTTTTACTCCGCATCTTCGGCAAGAAGCCACAGGTTAGCCACGGGTGCGCTACGCCTCCCAGATGTTCCGGTGTGATCACACCCGGAAAATCCACGGGACGATCGTGCCTTCAACACAGCAAATGCTCTATGTGAACAGGGCCTTAAATGTTTATTCAGACTAGCTTATTTCATCAGTTCTTCTTACCTTAGTTCCTTGTCTCCTCTGCCCTTATCTTAAGCCTCCGTCTATGCACCCTTCAAGTTTTCTTTTCTCAGTTCATTGCCTATTTCATTACACTCACTCATCCATCTTACCTTTGTGATTCCTCCTCCTTAGTTTCTCAAGATCCTGAAACTTCTTTTCAGTCTTCAGCCTGCCTCACAAAACTACTCCTACCCTTAGGGCCTGTACTACTTTGTAATCCTTGCCAAATTGAAAGTTTTCTCATGTGTCACAGAAATTGGATTACAAGTATTTTAGCAGTTTTGTTCCCCGATCAGTTGGCAAGTTGCTTTACCATTACACCAACTCAAATTTACTACCACAATCCAAACAAATGATAGATACTACCAGCTATTATTTTGTGGCCATTCCATGTTTCTTCTAATGTGAATCTGTATCTTTGAGCTCAGTCTACAGGACATGTCTTTACTGATGTTCAAATAAAGTTATCATTATATCTTATGTGAGACCTGATTAATTGCATAGTGTTTGGAGGTGCACAAGGCCTGATCCTGTAAGCTTGAGCATACTTTTTCCAAGGATCTTCCCATGTACTCATATTGATTTAAGTCCATGTATAGTATTCCATGGCAACTAATTTCTCAATCATGCCCACAAAGATGTGTGGTCTAGTGAAGCTATTATTCTTTACTAGTTGTACTAGAAGAAGAAGGGATTGGATTTATACCCGCCCTTCACTACCCAAAGGTGTCTCAGAGCGGTTTACAAACTTCTTTCCCTTCCCCTCCCCACAACAGACACCCTGTGAGGTAGGTGGGGCTGAGAGAGCTTGTATAGGATTCTGCCCCCCACACCTGTCCAGGAATGAGAGGGAACCCTATACTTTTTCAATACATTAAACAACAACCCAGAGAGGTAGGCTACCCTCTCTGGATTTCAGAACAATTTGCCATATTCCCCCTCCAACCTGAGATTAGAGATTCCAGAATCTCAGTTGGTATTTGGGACTTAATACATTGAACAACTCCATCTAGAGCTGTGCAGTTAATCTTACCAAGGTAGCATGATTGGTAAGCGGGAGGCTACAAGATTTAGACTTAGAATCCAGTTACAACAATACAGACAGTTAGAAACAAGAATAATGTTCATTCAGTCAGAGCTTTGCATAGACTAGAAGGATTTCAAAATAAGAAAACTTTTGGCTCTTGGCCCTCACTAAACATTAAAGAGATATGCATAATTACCAACTTCAGGAACCCATAGTCCAAGATTGTCCATTGTTATAGTCCAGTAGCCCCAAGGGATTTGGAGCAAGAAGTCCATCTTTGCCCACCATGTGCTCAGCTCCAAAGCAGTTCTTTGTCTCTCCCAGAGACCACATGGCAGGACAGCATTTCAGGTGAACAGACACAAGAGCAGCAGAGATAGCAGGAACAGAACAGGAACAGAGAGAGAGAGCCCTCCTCCAAGGGATCAGACAATTAAACCCCAATCTAGTCACAATCAGCCGTGGCCATTCAGCCAACCACAAGTAGGAAGGGTGTGTCCAAATCTTAGTCGCCATGGTAGCTTTGAAGGGATAGGTTGGAAGTTTGAAAAACCATGCCCGCAGTCACATGGCCCCCCAAACCCCATTCTGTACGTGACTGCCTGCTTGTTTGGCAGGGCCATCTGGTCTCTGCCAGCATGGAAGTGTGAAGAATGTGGGGTCATATGGCAGGGCTATTGAGGCCATTTGGCTTCAACAGGAAACAAGGCACAGCATGGTATCAGCAAGACATTCCAGGGGAAGGCAGGGGCTTTTAGAAATCAGTATTTCTATACAGAGCTCTTGACAGAAACTGCTTTTTTTTTCAAGAACAGCTCTTATCAAAACTACGCCTAGCTCAAGGTCATCCAGCCAGGTGCAAGTGGAGGAGTGGGGAATCAAACCCGGTTCTTCCAGATTAGAGTCCGCGCACATAACCACTACACCAAACTGGCTCTCTGTAGTACTAGTTGTACTACAATGCTCTCTTGCAGTAAGCCAATTTGTATGAAGTCCCCTCAACATCCCTGTTTATGAGTGGGAGATTATGGCTCACAGCTACTCATTTTTCATCCTTGAGCATTTTGTACCTCCAAAGCATCTTCAGACACAGACTTCAATTGTTACAGAGATTAGTGGTAAAATTCCCATTTATTTTCAAAAGCATTGTATAATATCATCTTGTCAGCATGATAAGAGGAACATTTTTTTAGTCCTCGGTCTTTGGCTTTGCTTAAGGCTCCAGCATATGTGTCATTATTTATCATCATGATTCTTGGTACAGGGATAGTAGCTAAAAGATAGTTTCTCTGTGAGTTCCAAGTATAAGCTAAGAAACTATAGGCAATTGATATAGCTAACTTGAAGCGCACTGACAATACTGAAATTGTTCAGGGGGTTGATTAGTCACGTGCAATAGCATCTAAATCTGCTTGCACATACCTTCCTGCACTCTCTGTTAGATGCTTTAGCATTTGACAGAAAGTATATGTAGCAAGTTGCTACTGGAAAAAGGTTGCTACCTATTCGCTATGGCCTGTTACATAGCAACAGAGCATTTGACAGAAAGTACAGGTAATAACCCAGGCAAAGACTGCTGCCTGTTCTTTAGGACATTTTCCACAGCAACATAAGGAAGCCAGAAGAGCATTGCATACAGTTACCACAATCATCAGCCATATGGAGGGAGGCCAGACTGAAGCCAATTGCAGAAGTGAACCATAGGAGCAGAATTGATACCAGAAATGCACCCAAAGAGGTTATTCAAGAAATGACAGGAATGTGTATTTCGCACTGGAAGTACCATAGGAATGTACCTGACATAATGGTATCTACCGTTGTACCTCCTCAAAAATTGGACAGGATTGTGAGAAATAAGGCCTTTGTTATAAATGCTTGGTGTTACTTCTAGCAGAGATCTGTACCAGTCTGCAACATATGCCTCATAGTTTTTAAGAGACCTAGAATTCCTAATATTTTTTTCTGTTACAGTATAGGTTTGCCCGTGTGGAACGGCCTTCTCAGTTTGGCGGTGACCCATGTGATTACACAGACAAAGAAACTGAAGACTGTGTTCCAGATGGCCCTTGCAGAAATATGGTTAGATGTGAAGGATTTCTATGTGGTACAGGTTAGTTAATTACTAAGTGACCAGTGATGAGACACCCATCTCTATAACACGAACTAAAAAGAGGCATAGTAAGAATGTTTGGGTTTTTCCTTTTAAGCTAAACTGTAACTTTGCACTCATTTCACACGCTAGCAAGGTCATGCTCAAGATCCTACAAGCTAGGCTTCAGCAGTACGTGGATAGAGAACTGCCAGAAGTACAAGCTGGGTTTCGAAGAGGTAGAGGAACTAGAGATCAAATTGCCAACATTTGCTGGATTATGAAGAAAGCAAGGGAGTACCAGAAAAAGATCTACTTCTGCTTCATAGACTATGCTAAAGCCTTTGACTGTGTGGATCACAACAAACCCAAGAGATGGGAGCACCAGACCACTTCACATGTCTCCTGAGAAACCTGTATAAGGGTCAAGAAGCGACAGAACAGGATATGGAACAACTGATTGGTTTAGCATAGGGAAAGGAGTACGACAAGGATGTATATTGTCCCCTTGCTTATTTAATTTATATGCAGAGTACATCATGCGAAATGCCAGCCTGGATGATTCAGAAGCCGGAATTAAGATTGCTGGGGAAAAGATCAACAACCTCAGATATGCAGACGATACCACTCTAATGACAGAAAGTGAAGAGGACCTCAAGAGCCTCTTGCTCAGGGTGAAAGAGGAGAGCGCAAAGGTTGGCTTGAAACTCAACATCAAAAAACCCCTAAGATCATGGCATCCGGCCCCATCACTCCTTGGCAAATAGAAGAAGTCATGGAAGCAGTGACAGACTTCACGTTCCTGGGATCCAAGATCACTGCAGATGGTGACTGCAGCCATGAAATTAAAAGATGCCTGCTCCTTGGGAGGGAAGCAATGGCAAACCTTGACAGCATAATAAAAAGTAAAGACATCACCCTGCCAAAAAAAGTCCGTATGGTCAAAGCAATGGTATTTCTAGTAGTACTGTATGGCTGCGAGAGTTGGACTATAAGGAAGCCTGATCGTCGAAGAATGGATTCTTTTGAACTATGGTGCTGGAGAAGACTCTTGAGAGTCCCCTGGACTGCAAGGAGATCAAATCAGTCAATCCTAAAAGACATCAACCCTGACTGTTCCCTGGAAGGCCAGATACTGAAGCTGAAGCTCAAATACTTTGGCCACCAAATGAGAAGGGAGTACTCACTGGAGAAGACCCTGATGCTGGGAAATATTGAAGGTCAAAGAAGAAAGGGATGGCAAAAAGTTGGGAAATGAACTAATTTATGATTTTATATCTGCTACACAAGCAACAAATGGACTGTGCACACACTTGTATACCATGAGCCTAGAGAAAGCTGTTTGCATCACCTACTGTAAGAGAGAGATTTCGCATAGGAACACTTGCCTGCATTGTATGTTAATGAAGCTTGCACACATTCAGCTCAGAGAGGATCATGGGAAGAAGAAGCACATGGTAGCCATTGGGAGCAGAGAACAACGACTAAAAGAAAGAATTCCACCATTACTAAAGAGATGGGATGTCACGGAGAACACGGACTGGATCTACATTTGAATTGCAGTTTCCTGTTTACAGTGCCTTGGCAGCCTGGTGAGGCCAAGATTCATCAGCACAACAAAGAGATGTCCTGAAGCTGAGATTCCACACCTGGCCAGATGGCATTCCATGAGAAAGAGTATAGTATTTCAAATATTGGCCCAACCCATAGAACACCGGCCCTTTTGCACATTCACCAATCAGGTAGTTCATGGGATGGACTTGTAAGTAGGTGGGATTACAGTGTGGCAAGATGCCACCCACCTGGAGATCCAACTATATAACGCAAAGACCATGCTTTAAGAGCTGGGCTAGCCACATTCAATGGTTAGACAGTGTTATCGAGGCAACAAACATGAAATTAAGCAAACTCCGGAGCACGATGGAAGACAGGAGGGCCTGACGTGATGTGGTCCATGGGGACGCGAATCGGACTCAACCGTGCGACTGAACAACACATTGTTTAGTTTGTGGGGGAAAAAAATCTGATACTGTTGATAAGATGAAATTTTTAAAGGTACGTTCATGAAATCTGTTAAAAGAACGGATCAGAGAAATGAGTGACAGCGTATTATTTCTGAGGTAACAAGCTAGATCTCTGTTTATGGAATATACTTTGTTGTTTCCTTTATAGTGTATTTTCCTTTATAGTGTATTTCCTTTATAGTGTATTTTTAGAAGCCCAGCTAGATCAGATCATTTTTGTCTGACATCATTTATGAATACTTATTGGGTTAAACAAGGCCTGTCTATTTGGAAATAATTTCTGCTGCTGCATTACCATTTTCCCAGCAGCAGTACACTGGAGGCAAAGAACTTATGGACAACAAAGAATTTCTAAGATGACTTGGGTAATAAGCCAGGAGCAGGAAAGAAAGAACCACTGAGAAACTGCTGTGCCAAGTGCTTATGGATCAATATATTATCTCAAATTAAACACAGCTAGTTAGCTCAGATTTCAAAAGATAATTATTGTTTTAAAAAAAACACCTGCAGCCACTATAATCAACATTCATAATGTATTAAGAACCACTCTGGGAGTGCTGGTAGTTTTTCCCACATCAAATCACAGTACAAAATAGGAGAGATTTCTTAGGCACAGTACTATAGTCTTGTTCGTTGAAGCGAGAAAGAACACCATTTTTTTCAGTTAGGGGGAATTATATAACTGAAACATATTTGTGTGTTTAAATGTTGCAGAGAGTTGTTAAGTGGAATTGCAAAATTTCTGCATTTCTATGGTACGTCATTTGGTTAAATCGCTCGTGTACATATACAGTTATAGAAAAGAGACTTGGCATTAAGGCTATGGGTGACCTTAGCAAGAGCAGATTTGACAGAAAGCAGGTAATACTAATTTTCCAGAGTTCAATTCTAAACTTGCTTTTCAAGTAAACAGTCTACTAGACAAGAAAACAAAGCTAGGAGCAGTTTGGAACTGGAGAAAGCAAGCTTTAGATGGATGCATAAAGCAAGGTAGGGCAGGAAACAGGAAGGATGCAGGATAGGAAGCCACTTTTGAGAATGTAGACTCCACAGCATCACTGTCCAGGACACATGGAAACAGGAGTGGATCTACTATGAAATTAATGAAGCTTAAGCTTAAGGGCTCCACCACGACCTCCCCGCTACAGTTGAAACAGTTAACGAACTCGAGGCCCCTTGCGCGTCTTCGATTCCGGTTTTAGAATGCTTCGACCAACTCAGCCTGGAGGAAGTCGACAGGTTGCTCGTATCTGTGTGCGCAACCACGTGCGGCCTTGACCCGTGCCCCTCCTGGCTCATTAAAGCGGACAATGAGGGGTTTCGAGGTGCCTTGAGGGAGATTGTTAACAAGTCCCTCTTGGAGGGCTGGTTCCCTGAGGCACTCAAGGAAGCGATGGTCCGCCCTCTCCTGAAAAAATCAACCTTGGGCAAACTAATTGAGAGGGCAGTGGCGACTCAGCTGCAGAGCTTCCTGGATGACGCTTTCGTCCTGGATCCATTCCAGTCAGGTTTTCGCCCGGGGCATGGGACAGAGACTGTGCTGGTTGCCCTTACTGATGACCTCTGTAGGCATCTGGATCAAGGCGGTGTGGCAGCGCTGTTGTTGTTAGATCTGTCGGCTGCATTTGATATGGTCGACCATCAGCTGCTGTCCCACCGCCTTGCCGACACGGGGATTCAGGGGCTCGCCCTTCAATGGCTTGCCTCGTTTCTCCAAGGTCGGGGACAGAGGGTTGTGGTAGGGTAACAGCAGTCCCAGAGGCACCCACTTGAATGTGGGGTGACTCAGGGGGCGGTGCTTTCCCCGATGCTGTTTAACACATATATGCGCCCCCTCGCCCAGATTGTCCGGAGGTATGGGCTGGGGTGTCATCAATATGCAGATGACACCCAGCTCTATTTGATGTTGGGCAGCCGGTCGGACTCCAATCCAGAAGATCTGCACCGGGCATTACAAGCCATAGCTGGGTGGCTCAGACTGAGCAGGCTGAAATTAGACCCGGCGAAGACGGAGGTCCTGTGCTTGAGCCGGACCAGACCGGGGTTAGGGCTCCCGCTCCCGACCTTTGATGGGGCACTTCTGGTGCCAGCTTTGGAGGTTAGGAGTTTGGGAGTGCTCCTGGACCTTAATGATGGAGGCCCAGGTGGCAGCCACTGCCAGATCAGCCTTTTACCATCTTCGACTGGTGAGGCAGTTGGTTCCTTTCCTCAACCGCAACGACCTAGCTACAGTGATCCATGCGACGGTCACCTCGAGGTTAGACTACTGTAACGCTCTCTACATGGGGCTGCCTCTGTCATAAATCCGGAAGCTACAGCTAATGCAGAATGCTGCGGCCAGGTTGTTGATGGGCGCCCCTAGGTGGGAGCACACCCGACCTATGCTGAAAGCGCTGCACTGGCTTCCTATAGCGTACCGGATTCACTTCAAAGTGCTGGTGCTTACCTTTAAAGCCCTACATGGCCTGGGTCCGACATACCTGAGGGACCGCATTTCCCCACATATTCCCCAAAGAGCACTTCGGTTGGGGTCACAACACTGGCTGGTGACCCCGGGCCCCAAAGAGGCCAGGCTTGCAGCAACAAGGGTCAGGTGTTTTTCAGTGGTGGCTCCTATCATGGTGGAATGAGCTCTCGGAAGAGATCAGGGCCCTGTGGGACATTTTGCAGTTCCACAGGGCCTGTAAGACGGAGCTCTTCCGCCAGGCAAATGAGTAGGAGCCGCCACTGTTACTACCACCACTGTTTCTCCAGAAAGTGTTCCCGCCGGAAGATCGCGAAACAGTCAACCGTGGCCCTAGTCTTCTCCTCTGCTACGCAAATTGTGGGAGTTTTTCCTCCCTTCCGTGCATCCTGATGGTACTGATTTTTAACTGTTTTTACCTATTTTATATATTGTATATTATACATATGCACTTTATGCACTTTGTGTTCTTGTAAGCCACTCTGAGCCCGTTTGCGGGAAGGGCGGGGTATAAATGTAATGAAAATAAATAA